GAAGGCATGTTGGATATGACCGTAAAGCAAAGTAATAGCACAAGGGAAATATTTTGTGATGATGGAATAGTTTTGTACCTTGCTTGCTGTAGTGGTTATATGACTCTGTGCATGTGTTAAAATGACATAGAACTATACATACACTTTACAGTAATGTCAATTTCCTGCTTTTCATGTTGTGCCATTGTTACTTAAGATGTAACCATTTGGGGAGACTGGGTGAAGGGTACATGAGCTCTCTCTGTACTCTTTTTACACTTCCTATGAAATTATAATTATTTTAAAATAAAAGTTTAAAAGGAGAGGAAAATGTGCAAACCTTGCAAAGCGTTGCTTTAAAAGAAATACATTCTCTGAAATTTTTTCAAGGTTTTAATGATGCCAGATTTTTCAAATTAATAGCTTCTCACTTTCCAACAGTTGACTGAGCCAATTATTTATATGCAGGAAGGTTACTATTTGTTTATTGTTTCTTTTTATTAATTACAAAGTAAATATTGCTGTAAATTTTATACTTGCCATGTCTTAAATAACTAATTTATGACTGCTAATGGGTAGCAAAGGATCAAGGGCACCAACATCATGATTTAATCAAAAAAACTAATTTAATACATTAGTTGCAACCTCATTACTGACCTCAAGAGCAGGCACTTTTGCAGGAGCTGCCAACAAGGAAACAAAATGTGACTAATTTTCTACTTTCCTCTATTTAAGAAAAGAATTAATGAATATAAATATGCCCCAATTTGATATCTTAACAGCTTCCATAACGCATAGTTTGGAAACTCTGTGCCTGAATAACTGGGCCATTGATTATTTCTGGAACATAAATTAAGTCCTCCAGTTTAATCTTATTTGGACCTGAAACTTACAATAAGGAAATTTCCAGATTACTTTTAGTTTTCTTACTTCAAATTATCTCCTTTCATAGATCTTTTTTCTTGAAAAGACTTATTTATTAAACTACTAGACTCTGCTATTATTTAATTACTAATAGCAACACATCCAAATATGTCTCACATTCTGCCATCTTAATAACAAAGTAAAAATTCCTATAGAAGTATTTTAAAGAAGTTTATTGATACTCCTAATGGCATTGTATTTTTGTATGTGAGTGGGGAAAAGTGTTAGAGAGAAAAATATCCTCTGGAAAGTATAAATACAGCTTCACAATCCCTTATGTGCACTTTCACTTTTCAGAGTTTTCTGAGGATTTCAGAATTGCAGAGGAAGGTCAGTTGGTGGCCAGACTTGACCTGAACAAACCTGGGGCTTTTGTCTAGTCCCCATATAATCTAACAGCGTTAATATTCCCACCTTCACTGTAGGAATATAAATGTTCTCAAGATGCTGTCCTAGTTGCCCCTGGGTATATTTTACGATGTGTAGTGTACGTATTTTCTTTACAAAATCTGAACATTTCTGACTGTGAGAGAGATCTGGCCCCAATGGTTTGGGGTAAGAAATTATGGCCAGTCCCAGAAAAGTATAGGATCGATGTTCAGGTACCACTGAGAATAAGGACCTATTTATCAAACAGATAAGTCCAGGAGCACAAGACTCATGACAAGAAATTTGGGAGGAGAGTCAAATGAGCACCAAACTGACGTTCACTTTATAAATGAGGAAACTGAGGCGCAGAAAGGTTGAGCAACATGCCCAAGGTTCCCCAGCTAGAGTTGGTACCTAGGTGATCTGCCTTTAGAGATCATGCTTTTACACCACAAAGAATGGTTTGTGAAGACTTAAACCTGTAAGCCTCCACAGGGTAACCCAAAAGACAGCAGTCAAAGTGGAGCCAGAGACTGGGTCTCTGAGATGAAAGCATAAGGATTTCATAAAAGTTCGTATCCTTACAAGTAAAACTCCAAGCTCTGGGATACCGGCAGTGAGGCTGATGCTCCCCAAGTATGAAATTGGAGAATCCTTTCATGGAGAAAAATGAATAGCCCCAAGGAAAAGATCTATGGGGACTGATCTCAGTTTGTCCTGTTCCTTGGAGTTCACCTGTCAAATTCTGGCTTGCACACTAAACTTCCAAGTAGCTACTTCAAGCATTTTTTTTTAATAGGAGAGAATTCAAGGATCACCAGACATTTGAAGAAAACATCAAACGTGAATGAGATCAAATGAACAATCAATAAAAAAGAACCTAGACAGGACGAGGAAATACAAACAGTGGAGAAAGTATCAAAGAACATATCATTGGTGCTTTCAAAGATTAAGACACTGCATGAATGGAAGAAACACAGGCAATGAAAACAGGGAGGGGAGTGCAATAGAGGATGAGATAAAGCACCCGAAAATTAAAAATAAGATAACTGTAATTTAAAGCTTAGTAGAACTTTGGAAGATAAAGTCAATGAAATTCTCCAGAAAGTAGTTTTTTAAAAAGGATTTTAAAAAACAGTTAGAGAATCAATCAAGAAAGTTCAAAAGCTTATTTCAGAATGGGTTTCCAGAAAGAAGAACACAGAAAATAGTGAAGAAAAAATTAACATTGTATGGAAGAGTTTCAACAAGTGAAGGACATGAGCCTCTGAACATAAAGAATCAAAAGGACCTGGCAAAATATATATATTTTAAATCCAGGCACATTATGAAATTTTAGAATGCCAAGAGTAAAAAGAAAATGCTAAGAACTTCCAGAAAGACAGAAAAGGAAAAAACAGTATCACACAAAGAAAAGTAACTATAATGCCATGGGACTTCTTTACAGCCGCTCCAAATTCTAGAAGACAATGAGCAATGCCCTCATATTTCTAAGAAATAATGTCTTTCAGTTTAGAATTTCATACATAGATAAATTATCAGTCACGTGAGAGTGAAGCATTGAGTCATTTTCAGGCATTCGAAGACTTGAAAAATCTACTTTCCTTTGAGTCCATTTTTAAGAAGCCATTCAGGAATGTGCTTCAACAAACAATGCAGTTCACCAAGAATTAGCAAGAATTGGGTCCAGAAACTAAATGTGAGGACCACCAAACAGGGATCAAGGAGAACAGTTCCAGGTTCAGAACAACCAGTCAGTAGTCTTAGTTGCTGTAAGAAGGAAATCGTCATGGGAACAGAACAGAACTGATAAGCTATTTTACTGTGTTTGAGTAAGAAAAAGCTACTGATAATGTGGGAAAGATTTCTAGGAATTTTTGCAAGGAGCAGATATCAATATGTATGTGGAAAAATTAAAATTCATGGAAATTGTTTAAAAATTACAAGTTGTAAAAGAAATGCAATAATAATTTGTAAAAGGTAACCAGGATTCATTGCTTGGCTCAACAGATAGCAAAGTTATGGTAATGTAAATACTGAAGACTGATTTAACCAGCGATAAAGCTTGTCTGAGAGATCTACATTCCCAAATACTGTAAGAAGTAAAATCAAAAAAATTAAAGAATGTAATAATAATATTGAGAAATAGGAGAAAGGGCATTAGAAAAAATAACTGAAAGGGTTGAAGTGGTTGCTTTTGGTGAATATGCAAATGAGAAAGTGAATATTTTTATTTTTCCATATTTACAAGATGATCACTATAGATAATATAGTATTTCTATTGATACATAGAAATACAGTTTTACCTCATGGCAATTATTCCATTATTACTGGTAGCATCCTGTTAATACTTGCTTTTCCATTCAATACTAATTACTAGCATTCAACACTAGTAAGTATTGAAAATACTAATTAATTGAATTAGTATTCAATTAATACTAATTCATTCCCAGAGGAAAATAAAGCATTCTACCATAAAGACACATGCATGTGAATGTTCATTGCAGCACTGTTCACAATAGCAAAGACGTGCAATCAACCTCAATGCCCATCAGCGACAAACTGGAAAAAGAAAATGTAGCACGTATGCACCGTGGAATATTATGCAGCCATAAAAAAAGAACAAGATCATGTCTTTTGCAAGCACATGGATGGAGCCGGAAGCTAACACTAATTAATTGAATGAATATGAATTACTAGCAATAGTAATAGCATCACTATTAAGTTAACCATGTATCATAAACATTTCACTTCAATCCACGTGGATCTCTTGACCTTTTTAATCAATAGGTAAGATTCATTTTCTGATGATTTTTTTTCTGTCAGTCCTCTTTTTACGGACATTAGGATGTTTCTTCTATTTTGCTATTAGCCACAACACTGTGAGGAACATCCTTGTTATAATATTTATGCTCATATGCTATATTTCCTTAGGGAGCATTGCTAAAAATGATGCTTCTTGGTCAAAATTTATATTTTGATAAAGATTCCCCCACTGCTTTTCAAAATAATGGAAAAATGTAGATACCTACAAATTATATTCCCCACAAACAATCATAATGTTGACTCTTTTATGCTGTTCGGCTTTTTTTCTATTTATGGTTTTGTTGCATGAGCTAAAACTTTCTAGGGGAAAGAAACCATTAACATTAGTAGAAATCGAAGTTTTATTTACATTCTTCCTGAATTTAATGGGATACTTGTTTGTCATAATGTTCTCTGGGTAGTTTAAAAATATGAAGTTTGGTTTGGTTTTCTTTTATTAAGAAACAAATATTCTTGTTCTATGAAGAGTGTTAATCAGGAATGAGTGTTAAATTTCCCTTAATTTTCTGACATCTACCAAGTTGTTTTCATTAAACACATGCATGCTATGCCCAATAGATAAATTATTTACTGTTTAGATACACAGCAGATGGTTTTTAAAATTGTTACTTTGGAGAGCATATCTAATGAATTGTGCTTTGTATCAAACCATGAATTTTAAGAACCAGAATCTGAATGGTGAGTTGGTCAACTGTGCCAGAAGAGGATTTTTATAACTTTTTCATATCTATTGAAATACAGACTATTTGCTTTACCAATTCAGGGAACTTCTGGGTTAAAAAAAAAATTATCCTTAAGAACATTTGTAAGGAAACACTTGTTCTATAATCATGGAGCGGTACTAGAAAGTCCAAAGAATGCTTACAAGCCTTTCGAGTAAATGTACTTGTTTTTCTTTTTAGGGGCACTGCAATTGCGGGCATTGTTTTTGGAATAGTATTTATCATGGGAGTCATTGCTGGGATTGCCATATGCATCTGCATGTGCATGAAGAACCACAGGGCGACCCGCGTGGGCATCCTCAGGACAACTCACATCAATACCGTCTCCTCCTATCCTGGTGAGCTAAACTGTTGACTCTTGAAGGTTCAGATTTGTTAGTTATCCTCTGCTCCTCACAGAGAGAAGGAAACATTCTAGATGGTCACTAAAACACCTCCAATTTCATAGGGTATTTCTAGGTACATATAGATTGAAGTTCTAGCTGAATCAAGATTATTTAGATCCAAGTAATACAATCCATTTCTTTTTTGAAGATATTCATATTTTCAATGTTTGTTTCATTGACTACAGTTGCCAGTCAGCCAGAATTAAGATAAATAGGCAATTCACACCCACTGTGTCTACCTGCTGTGAGTACTGACAAGTAATTATAAAGTATAATGTATGTCTCAATAAACTGGCATCTGATCCAATAGATACATATGTCTTGAGAAAAAGTATTGAAGAAAATTTTCATATATCTTCATTACGTCAAGAGAACAACTTTAAACATGATATTGAAATTCTCAACAGGCCAGGCACAGTGGCTCACGCCTGTAATCCCAGCACTTTGGTAGGCCAAGGTGGCTGGATCACTTCAGGGCAAGGGTTCATGACTAGCCTGGCCAACTTGGAGAAACTCAGTCTCTACTAAAACTACAAAAGAAAAAAAAAGTTCAACAAAGAGCACGGGTAATATATTAATAATTTGACAAATATTTACTGAGAATATGCTAGAAGTTCCGTATATAAAAAGATATTGAGTACATGTGACTTCATAAACAAAATACTGCATTTTGCATTAAAGGATTTCAATAATGCTTTCTAAGTCAATCTGTGCATGTACAATTTGACATATAAAAGGCAGGCAAGTTCTAAATTTAACACACCCTGAGGAAGTTAATTTCCCATCCACACTCATGTCTTTTCTTTCTCTGTCTCTATAGGAAAAGAACAGAGTACCTTCTACATGTAACTGTGCTTTGTATTTGTATTAATTTCCTGTACTGTCCTTCCTCTGTCAACTTTTTTTTCCTCTATCATCTTCAACTTGAGGCAGCAAATTTCAGATCAATATGAGTATGATAATTCCTCTTGATCCTCTTTTGTCAGTTCTTGTTCTATAATATTTTCATACTGGAGTACTTGATGGGTCAGTCTTGTCTTTTCTTCCATACTGTATCGACACTTACCTCTTTGCTTGTATTGAGTATTACAACCTCAGGGTACTAAGTGCCATTTATATGCTAATGCCTCCCAAAGTTATATATCTCCAGTCCAAACCAAGTCATTTTATCCCAGTGCCTATCGAACATCTCCATTTGAGTGTCTCATAAATATCCCAAATTTGACATGTCTAAACTTGGATTTCTGATCCAAGTTTTGGATTTCCCCCCAAATCCCTCTCCACTCACAGCCTTTACCATTTCACTTGATGGCATCTCTATCCTTCTAGTTGCTCAGACCAGAAACCATGTACTCTACCAGAAAAACTTCTTGGCTCTACCTTCAAAATACAGTATTTTGACTACTTCTCACAGTGAGAAGTAGATGTTGTTACTCCCCCAGTTGGAGAACTTCCTCAGCTCTCACTTCCTTTACTCTAATAACATCCTGGCTGCTCTCCCAGCATCCGCCCTTTGCCCCCTGGGGTCTATTCTCAACCCAGTAGCCGGAGTGAACCTTTTAAAGTAGATGTCAGATCGTATTACTCCTGTGCTCAAAATCTTCCAGTGGTTCCCCATTTCCCGCAGAGGAGGCACTAAAGCATGTGGTTCTTCATTTTATCCAACGTAAAAGGCAGATTCTTTACTGAGGCCTTCAAGGTACTGCATGAATTGGTTGCTCTTTTTATTTCCCAGGCCTCCTTTTTTTCTACTGTCTCCCTGGCTACTCTGCCTCCAGCCACATTTTTTCCCTTGCTGTTCCATGAACTCACAAGGCCACACTCCCACCATAGGGCTTTGTCTAGAATACTGATTCCCTCACTTCTTTGAAGTCTTTAATCAAAGGTCACCTCCTGAATGAAGTCTGCCCTGATCACCTTATTTAGGATTGTAATGCATCCCTCCTGACAGCATCCCAATTCTCTTTGTGCTGCTCTGCTTTTTATTCAGAGTGCTTTTAATCTTCTAAGATATTGTATAATTTAGCTAATCATTATGTTGACTGTTTATCGTTCATCTCCTCTTCCTAGAATATGAACTCCATGAGGAAGAGATCTTGGTCTATTTTGTTCAACACTCTATTCCAAGCATGTAAGACCAGGCCTGGCACATAATGGGCACTCAGCTGAATGAATGACGAACACAACTTATGAAAAGACCTGATTTAATCATATATCAATATCCTAGGGAACTGACTTTAAGTTTTACCCTGGAATGTACTCACTACAAAAGCAACGTGCAATTTCAAGTATTCCCAACTTGCAAGAATATTGATAGGGTTACTGTAAAGATGTTGGAATATAAGGGAAAAAATAAATGGAATTATTTTTATTATTATTTATACCTGTCAATTTTTTCCCTTGGTCTACCCATAACCCAAGAAAGTCAAGCAAAGACATCAATTGTAGAGAAGGTACAAAGAATTGCTTTGCAGATAACATTCTAGATACTTATTAGCTTGATCAAAAAAGTTTAATTGAAAGTAATGTTTAAATATTTTTATAAAATGTTTAATATTTTATTTTACCTTTCTGTAAGTTCAAATTTGAATAAAGTTAGAAGATACTAAATGTCACTATAGTAATGTAAGGTCACATGTTTTCTTGGGTTTGAAATTTCACTTAGCAGATGGAAACATGTTTTTTAAACTTTATAGTAGCATCATTTATACTTTCAGATCACAGGAATATGTTGCATTTTTATTAAATGCATTCTTCTCAGAACTGAATAATGGAAGAAACATAATGAACCTCATGCTGAAAACATTTTTACGGCCAAAAAGACTAGGTCTTCAAAACATAATGTGCATGATTACATCTCATCTCCTTCTCAAAGTCGCTAATTAAGCTTTTGCTTAAAGGTTTAAGAAGCAACACATAATAGTATTGAATATTTTTCAAGTCTTTTATCTATGGAAACACAAAATGCTTTTACCCACACTAATTAATTAACCCTACGATAATTGAGATAACAACCCAACTTATTGTATAGTCCTACAGCCCACAGGTCAGATAAATGCAGAGAGTATAATTTAGCAAAGGTGAAAGTGTACAGTGGGGAGCCCTAAAGTGAACATTATTACTCTACACAAGGTGAAAACAGTGTCATTCAGCTGTCATCACTGACCCTATGTTGGACAGTGACCTTCCAAAAGTTTTTCATTCTTGCCATATTGGGTAGAATGAACAGATGTCCTCTTTAATTGCAATTATTTTTTAAATTGTCCACATGAAGATAAGAATTTTCAAGTTTTCCATTTCAACTACTTTTCAGAACTTCAGTGTAAACAAAGGAAAGTGATCATATTAACCCTTGTCTTACAGCAGGTTTGGGATCTACACATCTGAAAGAAAATGATACAGTAAAACTGTAACAAAAGGCTTGGCAAAGATATAAAAGTCAAATGCTAACAAAAGAAAAGCAAGAGATTCAGTGCCATCAAGAAAATTGAGATTTGAGGTATATTATTGAGTCCTCTGAAGATGATAGATGATAGATATAGGTAGGTAGGTAGATGATTGATTGATTGATTGATAGACAGACAGACAGACAGACAGACAGATAGATAGATAGATAGACAGACAGATGATAGATAGGATAGGCAAACAATTGGAGAGGGGAATGGGGGCTCTTCCTAACAGAAGAATGTCAAAGAATAAATGTAGAAGGGAGTTATAGAATTGAAAAAAAATTATTTTAAAACCATCATAAAGAAAGAGTTAGTCAAAAATCATCAACAGATGCTAAATCTAGAAGAGAATGTGCTGAGAAGGATATCTGCAGGTCTTAAAGTGTCCACCAGATTTCTTGTCAGTTATCAGGTGAAAAATAGTAACTTTACAGTTACTAAAGGACAGATAAAGATCATGCACCTTTGAGTGTGTTACTCTGAGGACAACACAATTTCATGTATGTAGGTTCCACCTGGAAGACCACAGCCTAAATCTCAGCATGACAAAGTATCTGAGAAACCCAAGTTGAGGGACATTCAATAAAACAACTGGCCTATAGTCTTCCAAGTCTCTTGGAAATACTTCATTAAGAAATAAATATCCCATTTGCATCACTGATTTCACACATGACAGAAACCTTATTAGTAAGTGCAATGACATGAGAAGAAGTTTGAGTACTCATCAAACCTTTTTAGAGATCACAAGTTCATGTTCATACTAAAGAAAATGTCTGTGTTTGTACTGAATATTAAAAAACAACCTTCATCTGATGTGTAACTTCTTTACACATCAAAAATGCATACTGGAAAGATTCTCTATAATAATATTGTGACTAGGAAAATGGCTTCACCTTGAAGACACTGGAATGAAACAAAATGGATACATTAACGTGGTCAAGTCTTTGCCCAGGCAAACGTTTTTAGTACAAATCAGAGAATTCAAACATGAACTGAGAAAAACTTCTTTGATGTCATATTAACTATGGCTACAGAATTAATGCTGCAGACAAAATGTATGAGTATATTATATGATGAAGTAGAACTAGCAAGTACAAAATTTTGCTATAAAATGGTTAGAGAAGACTGAGATGGACATTAAGTCAAGAGGGTTTTTTTGTTTTGTTTTGTTTTTTGTTTGTTTGTTTGTTTCTTATTGAGAAATCCAGATGGTAGTGACTTGTATTTTGCAAGTACACTGATGGTAAAGATAAAGGAGGAAACTCATGAATATAGAAGATAGAAGGGATTGTTGAAAATCAGCATCCTTAAGTCTGAGGCAGAAAGGCATTCATTACACAAGTAGAGGGGCTAGCCTTTGATGGGATCAGAGACAATTCATTATGTATAGGGCGATCAGAGACACTTTATTACGTACAGCGTATGTAAGGCAGTAAGTACATAAACACAGTTTCAATGAGTTGTAGATTTGGTGGTCAAAGCATGTTCTCTTTTGCTCGTGCC